TGCGTTCTCCTTGGGAACGGAGGGGGGGGCCTCTAGGGGGTTTTTCTCCGTCCTCCTGGGGGCCTTCTGTGGCGGCTTTCTGGGGTCTGCTTGGGGCTCTCTTGGGCCGTCGCGGGTGCCCCTTGGGGCCGTCTGGCATTGTTGGGCGCCTGTGGGGCCGTCTTGGGACCGTTTGGGGGGCCCTCTTGGGCCATCCGTGGCCGCTCGTGGGGCTGTCTCGGCTGCTTCTTGGGCTGTAATGGGCTCCGCACACGGGCCGTCCTGGGGCAGCCGGGGGCCGTCCTGGAGCCCCATGAGACTTCCTGGGACGTTTTGGGCCGATCTTGGGGGCCAGTAGTGTCGTGCGTGTTCTCTAGGTTTGGAAGGGACTTCTGCTTGTGCGGGCTCTCTCGGGCGTCCTCTGGGAGCCCACTTGGAGAGTTTTGGGGGGCCCCTCGGGCCGTCTGGAGGCTATCTTGAGAGTCTTCGAGCGCTCGTGGACCGTCTCGCAGGCCCTCTTGGACCATGTCGGGGCCGTCCGGGGCACTCGAGCATCCGTGGGGGGGCCTTCCGAGGCCGTCGTGGAGCGCCTCGGGGCCGCCGAGCGCGCGCGGGGCCCCGCCGGACGGCTCCACGGGCATTTTGTCATTTTCCCTTCTGGCACACGCGTCTGCCGGCCGTGTAGAAGAGATGACACTGGGCTCCAGCTTTACTTCCCGCATCTCGCTCAGCAACGCCAGCGCCCGCTGCCACTGCTCGCCTTTCCCGCACGCGCTGATCCCAGCATTGTAGCTGACCAGGGCTGACCCGTGGACTACGTCCACTTGCGGGGTGAAGGGGTGCTGCCGCAAGGCGAGCAGGATAAATGGCGTCATGTTTGCCTGCCACATACCGCTGAGCGGCTGGGCGCCAGGTAGCGCTGCTCGCCCGTCTGGGAGCCCCCACCGAACTCCCAACGACACCGACGACGGCGGCGGCGGCGGCGACGACGACGACGACGGCGGCGACAACGGCGACGGCGGCGGCGGCGACCACGGGCTGCAAGGCTAGGCTGGCCCGATTCAGGGCCACTGGCCGGCCGGCCCAGAGTCGGCGGTGCCGATTCTGGGCGCCCCCCGGCCCGCCGTCCCAGAGTCCTGCCCCTGGCTCCCAGGGCCACGCGCGCCCCTGGAGCCACCCAGCCGATTTTGGGCCCCCGACCAGCCCGCCTAGAATCTCGGCGGGGCCGACTCTGGGCCGCCACGCCGCCGGCCCAGGATCCCGCCTGGCGCGCCCCAGGGCCGCCGCGCGCGCTTCCGGGGTCGGCCAGGACGTTTCTGGGCCGCCAGCCCGGAATCGGCGGGACCAATTCTGAGCCGCCTCGCCACCCGCCCCGCGCGCCCTAGGCCAATTCTCGCGCCCGGGCGGGCCTACTTGTTTCTGGGCCCCGCCAGCCCAGAATCGGCGGGACCAATTCCAGGTCACCGCGCCGCCGGCCCAGAATCCCGCCTGGCGCGCCCTGGGCGGCCGCGCGCGCTTCCAGGGTCGGCCGGGGCGATTCTGGGCCACCAGCCTTCCGGTCCAGAATCAGCGAACCGATTCGGGGCCGCCGCGCCGCCAGCCCTGGAATCCGCCCAGCGCGTCCTGGGACGGCGCGGGCGCCTCCGTGGCGGCCCTAGCCGATTCTCGGCCACCTGCCCGCCGGCCCAGAATCGACCGGCCGGCCCATGGTGCGCTTGGAGCCGTTTTGGAACCGTCTACGGGCCGTCTCAGGCCGTCTCTGGCTGCTGTTGGTGCTGTCCTCGGTGCTCCTTGGGCCCTTCTCTTGGGGCCTCTGGGGCTCGTTTAGGGGCCTGGAACCTGGAAGCAGCCTCCTGGGGCCCTCTTGGGCTGTATCGGGTGCCTCTTGGGCCGTTTGGAGTCCGTCAGGGGCCGTCTGGGGTTGTCTTGGACCGTCTTGGGCGTCTCTGGAGCAATCTGGGCACCGTCTGGAGGTCGTCTTCGGCCGTCCTGGGCCGATCTTGGGTACCCCGCAGGCCACCAGGGGCGCCTCGGGAGCCGTGCTGGGGCCGTTTTGAAGCGTCTTGGGGCCGCTTGGGGCCCTTGGGCCGTCTCTAAGGCCGCCACTGGCGCCTTAAAAGCCGTGGTCGGACCGTTTTGAAGCGTTCTGGGGGCTCTGGGGACCCTCTTGGGCCGTCTTGATTGCCTCTCGGGAGGTTGTCTTGGGGCCGTCTGGCCCATCTTGGGCACCTCTTGGGCCGTCTTGGGCGCCTCTTGGGCCGTCCTGGGGTCGTCTCGGGCCGCCTTGACGCCCTCATGGGTGCATCTTAGGGCGATCTCAAGGGCCTCTATGGCCGTCGTGGACGCGCCCGAAACGAAAAGCACGAGAATGAACAAAATACTCGTTTTTAGAAGGAAAGGGATGATTTTGATCTCTTGGGGCTCTCCTGGGAGGTCCTTCAGGGCCGTCTTGGGAGCCTCCTGGCCTGCCTTGGAGGCTTCCGGGGCCGTCGAGGCGGCCTCTTGAGCGGCTCAGAACCGTCTTTGGGCCGTCGGGGCGGCCTCTTGAGCGTCTCGGAGCCGTCTTGGAGCCGTCTGGGGGCTCAACGGGGCTCGCAGGGGCGCCGACTGCGCTTTCCCCGGAGCGTCTTGACAGCCTCTTGCGGCCTTTGGGCGCCAGCCTCGGAAGAAGCAAGGGCCAACAGCGGCTTCGTACGGCCCTCCAGGGGGCACCCGACGGATGCTACAACAGGGGTGGTGGTGTAAGGGTTTCCTGATCCAGGGCTTGAGGCTTGAGGGGGTCCACGATGCGAAGCTTCTTGAGTGGGTCTGGGGCAGGTCGGAGTTATCTACAAAGCCTGGTGTGGGGTCTGGGGTTTGTTTTGGGATTTCCGGGTCCGGTGGTGCCAGCACCATCGTGGAAAAGAAACTGCAATCATCTAGTACGAATACCCTAAGGTACCTGGATTCTGGGCCCACCACGTAAGAAGTAAATGCGAACCAGTAATAACAACTAAGACGCGCAAATTGTCTTTGAAAATCTTTGCTCGTCTAAGGGCGCTCCGAATAGTAACATGAAAATGATCGTCGCGAGTGAACCAAACCGGACAAGAACGGCGGAACGCCGAATTCTCCAGCGAGCGCGTGAGAGAACGTCAGGTTGAGCAGGCGACACGTCGTCGTCGTCGTCGTCGTCGTCGCGTCGTCGTCGACGTTGCCGTCGTCGGCGTCGCCGTGGGGATCCATGTTCGTGGTTGTCCGGAGGCTCTGCGGGGGTGTCAAGTGTCATGGAACCCTCGAGGGGCCCCCGCGCGGGGCTCCAGCGGGCGCCGCGGACGCCGCCGGTGCAGCCTCGGCGAGGCCCCATCGAGGGCCGCGGGCGCATCCGTGCTGGCTTCGTATGGGGCTCTGCGGGGCTGTCCTGGAGCGCTCGTGGAGTCTCTGCTGGGCCTCGGTCTGGGGCCCTCATGGGGCCCTGGGGGGCTGTTATGGGGCTCCGAGCGTCGGCTGTAGGGGGGGCCGAGGCCGTGCGGGAGCCCGCTTGGGACCGTCCAAGGGCTGGCTGGGGAGACCCGTGGGGCTCCGTGGGCCCGTCTGGAGCGTCTGTGGGCCGTTGGAGTTTTGAGCCGACGCTATGGAGCCTTCTGGAGCTGCTCCGGGCCGTCTGGAGCGCCTCTGGGCCCGAAGTGGAGAGAACCTGGACAACTTTGTTGTTTCATTACGTAAGCGCACAATGTTTGGCCAATCGGGCCGTTATAGGGATGCTCTGCGGCCGTCTTGGAGGTCTCTTTCCGATCCTGGGGCCCTCTGGGAGGTCTCGGGGCAACTTGGGCCTTGGCGGGACTCTTCGTCAGGCGGTCGAGGGCCGTTCCGGAAACGCCGGCGATTGTAGAGGCCCACCCCTTGGGCGCAGGGTGCCGCCCCGAGCCACTCGGTCTGAACTCGCACGCGCTGATCCGGTAGTGTAGTATAGATGACGTCGGGCTCCACCTTGAACTTCCACATCTCACTCAGCACTGACAGCGCGTGATGCCATTGCCCGCTTCTTCTGCATGCGCTGACAGTCGCAACGTAGTGGCTTGGGACGAATTGCACACCGAACCGAATTCCTTCGCGGAGCAACCACAGTGCTTCGCTCCATTGTTTTGTCCGACCGCAGCTCTTGATTGTCGCTTCGAGGGAACTAGCATCTTCTCGACAAGACCAAGCACCGCGGAAGGAACACTGCATCCGGAAAGACGAGGCATCCGCAAAGACGAAGCACCGCGGACTGAACAAAACCTACCTTGGGTCAAAATGGAATGTTCTAAACCGGCTACGGTTCGTCGGTTGGCTGGTTTTGAGCAGGGACCGACCGTCCCTGCATTCCTGTAGTTCTACCACGAACTGTTCTTCCCAAAAATGTTCTAAGAACAAGACACCGCTCTTAGAACATAGGCCCGATGTGCTAAAACAAGACAGTGTCAACAAGAAATGCTCTAAGAAAATTTCGTGGACACCTCAACAAAGGTTCTTAGAACACTGTTTGGTAGGGCTATGGGCGAGCCAGGGCGCTTTGCCACTGCTTGATGCTTGGATTGACGCCGGGTCGCCCTGACACCCGCCTGCCCACCTAAAGGGGCCCTGGGACACACAAATAAATGCATACAAATAAAGGATTCCCCATATGTTATCAGATTTTCTGGGTTTCTATCTTCCCGCCCAATTTCCCAATATGTTCCCACACTTTCTGGGGATTCGACGATTAACTGTGTCTGTGTGTTTTTTCCCCGCCCGCCCAACCGCCCTCCCGCACGCGCGCGCCCACGCGCCCGCCGACACGCCTGGCCGCGCGCCCACAGGCCGTCGTCATAATCGCCGCCGCCGCCACCACCACCGCCGCCGCCGCCGACGGCGTCGTCGTCGCCGCCGCCGTCGTCGTCGTCGTCGTCGTCGTCGTCAACGTCGTCGTCGTCGTCGTCGACGTCGTCGTCGTCGTCATCGCCGTCGTCGTCGTGGCCGTCGTCGTCGTCGTCGTCGTCGTCGTCCCTTATCCACTCTGCTTTTGAGGAGAAGGCCCCGTCCAGCAGACGGTCGTGACGGCGACGGCTGCGGCAACACATACTCTCTGGGCGGATCGCGGCAAGGAGCCGGCTGATGCGGTATATGCTAGAAAATGCATCGCACCACCTGCAGGTCCAACGAACAGAGGCAACTCCAGGGTAGTCTGACCGACGCGACGCTCCACACTCCTTCCCCTTCTGGAGCCGCTTCCACGACCATGGCACCAGGCGGTAGTGGACGAGGGGGTGAAGGCTGATGAGCAGCAGCAGCCGCAGTAGGAGGACAAGGAAGAAAAGGAGGAGGCGAATCCACAATGTCGCAGTGAAAGGCGCTGGAAGATGCATGAGGTATACTTGATCGTTGCCATTTGCTACAGCAATGACGCAATGATCGCAGCGATCGCACCTCTGTAGCGCTGACGACATCAGACTTCATTGGCACCTCCCGCATGTCGATGAACAGCGGGGAGATTCGCCGCCACTGCTTGCCTGTCCCTGGTCCCAGCTGGTGCTGGACTTTCGCCTCCACGCTACAGGAGGCACATCTGCATCCAACTTCGTGTGAGGGGTGTGCCGGCATGGGTCTGGGTGACGCATGCGGGCGGTGGCACTGAGGCCTTCGGTGGGGCTCCTTATGGGGCCACGGAACGTGTGAGGGGGGTGCCGAAATGGGTGTGCGTAGCGCATGCGGGCGGTGGCACTGGGGCCTTCGGTGGAGCTCCCTATGGCGCCACGAAGCGTGTGAGGGGTGTACCGAAATGGGAGTGGGTAACGCATGAAGGCGGTGGCACTGGGGCCTTCGGTGGAGCTCCCGATGGGCCAAGAAACGTGTGAGGGGTGTGCCGAAATGGGTGTGGGTAACGCACGCGGGCGGTGACGCTGGGCCCTTCGGTGGAGCTCCCTATGGGGCTACGAAGCGCTGCACTTGGCGGGTGAAATGCAGGGAGGAGGGAGGAGAAGGGAGGAGGAAAGAAGGAAGGAAGGAACGCGGGGACCGTCCTTTCAAAACCGAGGACCCAAAACCACAGGATGGCTGGGGAAAAAATGCGGATTGGGCTCGGGAGACGGTCGTCGAGGTCCTGCTGGTCCGTTTTCGGAAGCACCTGGCCCGTCGTCGGGCCGTCCTGGGCTGTTAACCAGGGAGCTCCGTTCGGGCTCATGTGGAATGTCCTCGTGCCATCCAGAGCGCACCGGAAAACATTTTCGGGCTGCCTGAGGCCGTGTTGGAGCCACCTGGGAGCTCTCGGGAGCCGTCGGCGAACGGCGGAGCGGTCTGGGCGGTCGGGGGCTGCTGGCGCTCTGCTGGCGTGTCTCGCACGCGCAACGTCAGGATTGTAATACAGATGGCGCTGGGCTCCAGCTTCGCGCCCCGCATCTCGCTGAGCTGCGCCAGCGACGGCTGCCGCAGCTCGCCATGTTCGCACGCGCTGACCCCAGCGCTGTAGCTGATGCCGTTGGGCTTCAAGCTCCAGCTTTGCCTCCCGCACCTCGCTCAACAGCGCCAAAACCATCGGCCATTGCTCGCTCTTCTCGGACGCGCTGGTCCCAGCGATGCGACTGAAACAACCACATGTATCGAACATGGCATGTATTGAATCAGCCTCCGACTACTAGGTCATGCACTTCCCTGAATAAGGACAACGCTTGGCTCCATTGCCCGCCTTGCTCGAACATGCTGGCTGTTATCCCGTAGACATTGAAGTCAACGCTCAACTTTCTCAAACGCATGGTTCTGAGCATGCTCAGTGCCTGTTGCCACTGCGCGCCCTTCTCGCACGCGCTGATCCCAGCGCTGTAGCTGATGACGTCGGGCTCCAGCTTCACCTCCCGCATCTCGCTCAGCAGCGCAATCGCCCGCTGCCACAACGCGCCCTTCTCGCACGCGCTGACGCCAGCGCTGTAGCTGACGACGTCGGGCTCCAGCTTCACCTCCCGCATCTCGTTCAACAGCGCCAGCGCCCGCTGCCACTGCGCGCCCTTCTCGCACGAGCTGATCCCAGCGCTGTAGCTGACGACGTCGGGCTCCAGCTTCACCTCCCGCATCTCGCTCAGCAGCGCCAGTGCCCGCTGCCACTGCTTGCCTTTCTCGCACGCGCTGACGCCAGCGCTGTAGCTGAAGACGTCGGGCTCCAGCTTCACCTCCCGCATCTCGCTCAGCAACGCCAGCGCCCGCTGCCACTGCTCGCCCTTCTCGCACGCGCTGATCCCAGCGCCGTAGCTGACTAGGGCTGACCCGTGGACTCCGTCCACGTCATCTTGCTGAAGAGGGCTTTGCACGTCCAATTGCAGCATGCGGTCGTCGCCTGCGCTGTGCGCGGCGGGCGCAAGAAGTCTTACGGCCGGAAAACCTCTTTGAAGAAGGCACGCCCCAGAAGCCTTCGAAGACGGGAGACTTGTTCCGGACGTAAGAAGACTTACGGCCGTAACCCCCTGTCGCAAAACATTCGTCTTCCAGCCGTAAGGCCGACAACGTTGGGCGACACTCGGGCTTCCGTGGGGCCGTCTTGGGCCGAATGGTCCACTCTTAGAGCCCTCTTGGGCTCCTCACGGGCTGTCTTGGGGGCCTGTTCGGCCGTCCTGGGTCTGTCTGGAGCGGTCTTGCAGCCATGGAGGGGCCCTGCGTTCCTCTTGGGGCCATTAATAAGAAAAAATCCATGGCAAGCGGGAAGACCCGCGACGGTACGGAAACGGAAAGACTGCTTCAGGAACTTGCCCGAGATGGCTCACGGCGGTCTTCGCTCTTGGGAGCCTTGGTGTGAAGGACTGGTTACGTCACCGCTCGTGATTGAAAGCTGTGGCTTTCAGAGTTTTGACGTTGCGGCTCGCTCGCGGGAGCCTCTTGTTGAAGAGCTTATTGTGTCACCGTTCGCTCTTGGGAGCCTTGGATTGACGAGCGTTTTACTGCACCGATCGCTATTTGATTTGGCGTCTGTGCGCCTTCTCAGTGGTCCTTGTGGGGGACTTTTGGGCGACCTTCAGGGGCCCTTTTGGCCCGTTCTGGTGACGCCATGGGGCGTCTTGGGGCCCGTTTGGGCCGCCACGGGGCGTCGTGGAGGCCTTGGACCGTGTTGGGGCTCTCTGGAGGGCTTCCTGGGGCCCTCTTGGGAGCCTCGTCGGGCCCCATTGGAGACCTCTTGGAGCCGTCTTGGGGCACTCTCAAGCCGTTTGGGGACCCCCTCGGGCCGTCATTGGGCCCTCTTGGACCGTCTTGGGGCCCTCTTGGGGGCCGCTTGGGTCGTCTTGGGGGGTTTGGGGGGGGGCCTCTTGGCCTGCCCTGGACCGTGTAACAACGCAAAAGGCGGATATGCTGAAGATGTACGCTTCCCCTATCGGAATGTGACGATGTTTGCCTCTTTGGCGTCCTCTCGGGGCCCTCTCGGAGCGTCTTTGGGGCCTCTTGGACCGTCTCGGAACCACATTCTGAGGACTTTGGAGCCTCGAGGCCCGTCTCGGGAACAACTGAAGCCGTCTTGGAGCGCTCTTGGACCGTCGTGCAGCCCCTCTGTGGCGGCTCTCGGGCCCTCGTGGGCGATTCGACCACGTGGTGGGGCCGTAAAGGGGCGATTTTAGCCACTTGACCGCCTGCCCTTCTGGCACGTGCTTCTGCCCGCCATGTAGGAGAGACTAGTGTGTACCCGTGCTTGCTGCCACTAGCGGAGGTGGCTCAAAGTGGGCCCAAATGGCGTCGAAAACCTGCCCTAGCATGATAAGGCAGCAGGGCGGAAGACCCGCCAACATACCCCATGAAGCCCCAAAAATTGCCTGAAATGAACGCCGATAGGATCCGGAGATGGTCCAAAGTGAACTCAAATAGTGTCGAAAACCGGCCCTATCATGAAATGGCAGGGTCGAGACCCGCCAAGAGACCTCTGAGGCCTGTTTCAAAAACCTCTCGAAGCTGTGACACCCTCCGCGGCGAGGCGATTCTGGGCCACCAGACGAGAGAAACACGGCATGGCCTGAAGAGGCCGCGGAGAGGGCTCCAAACCGACAAACAGGGCGAGGGATTGTGGGTCAAATCCGGCAGGGAGCGCCGAGCAAACATCAGAACCCCATGGTGCGCTGGTAACCGCTTTGGGACCGTCTGAGGCTGTCTTAGGCCGTCTTGGGCTGCTGTCGGTGCCGTCTTCGGTGTTTCTTGGGCCGTGATCTTGGGGCCGTGGGGGTTTGCAGGAGCCTCTCAGCGCTTCTTGTCGGCCTCCTGGAAGCCTCCTACGGCCCTCTGGGGCTATCTCGGGTGCCCTTTGGGCCGTGTGGAGGCGGTCCGGGGCCGTCTGGGGGTTGTCTGGGGCCGCCTTGGGCGTCTCTGGAGCAGTCTGGGCACCGTCTGGGGGTCGTCTTGGGCCATCCTGGGCCGCTCTTGAGGCTGTCTTGGGTACCCCGTGGGCCGCAAGGGGCGCCTCAGGAGCCGTTCTGGGGTCATCTTGGGACCCTGTATTGCCATCTTGGACGCTATGAAGCGGGCAAGCCCGGGAACTGCCAAAATACACCTTTATCCCTAGGAGATGCTAGGATTTTTCGGTATTCGGGCTCTCTTGGGGCTCGTCGTGGAGCCCGCTCGGAGCGTTTGGGAAGCCTCTTGGACCGTCTTCGGCCGTCTGAGGGCTTCCTCGTGCGTCTCGGAGCGCTCTTGGGCAATATTTTGGGTGTCCCAAAACCGTGTGGTGACAGACCCGGCGGTGACCTCGAAATCCGCAAAGACCTCACCGCACGGTCCGTCACCACATGGTTTTGAGACCCTGGAGGCTCCAGTCGCCCGAGACATCCTCGGAGGACGACCCAAGTCCCAAAACCGTGCGGTGACCCCGATTCCACACCGACTCACCACACGGTGTGGTCACCACCCCGTTTGGGAGCCCCCGATATCTTGGGAGTGCGCAGGGACCTGCTGGGGCCCGCAGGGGCCGCCTCAGGGGGCCGGCCCGCTGCCACCGATCGGCGGCTCCGCGGGCGCCGGTGCGGCCATTGCAGGAGAGACCAGGGCTGCCCCTCAGACGCCGTCCACGTCATCTGCACGAGCTTGAGCAGGGACCGACCGTCCTGGCAGTCCTATAGCCCCACCTGGCAGTCCTATAGCCCCACTGCGGAATGGTCGTAGAACCCCGATAATGTTCTAAGAACAAAAGCAATGTTCTTAGAACGTAGACCCGATGTGATAAAAATAAAAACAAGAAAGTCCGAGCAAGAAATGTTCTGAACCACCAGCGGCTCTCAGAACATTGTGTGGTAGGCCTCCAGGCACGCCTGGACGCCTCGCCACTGCTTGGCTGCACGAACGGGCCGGGGCCTTCGGAGGCAGGCGTAGGCGCCTCCCGGGTCGTCCTGGGCCGTCGTGGGCCTGGGGCCGTCTTGGGTGCCCCCTGGGCCGTCTTGGGCGCCCCCTGGGCCGTTGCGGGGCCGTCGCGGGGCTGTCGTGGGGCCGTCCCGGGGCACTCTCGGAGCGTCTTGGGGCCCTCTTGGAGGCCTCGTGGGTCGTGTCGGCACGACCTCGCAGGGTCCTGGAGCCGTGTTGGGCCGTTCTAGGGCTCAGATGGGAAGAGCCTGGGAATCCTTCAAGAAGCAATGGACTCTTCTGCCCTCCCCCTCTCCTGGACCATTCTGAAGCCACTGAGAGCCTGGAAAGGGGGCCGCTTGGCAGCCTCTCAGGGCGTCTTTGGAGGCCAAATTGGGGTTCCGTGCGGGCGTCTTGGGTGCCTCTGGGGCCGTGCTGCGGCCGTCGGGGGCCGGAGCAGGCGCCTCTTGAGCCGTCTTGGACCGTCTTCGGCTGCTCCTGGCTCCGTCCTGGGTGCCGTCTGGGCCGTCTTGGGCGCCTAGTGGGACGCTGCGGGGCCGTCCTGGGCCGTCGTGGGACCTTGGGTCGCTCTGGGGCTCGCGGGGGGGCCGCTCGGGCCGTCGGGGCGCTCTGGTGGGCGGCTCCGGGTCATCTTGGGGCCGTCCAGGGCCCTCTGTAGCCTCCGTGGCCAGGCCCTCCGAGGCCGTCGGGGAGCGCCTCGGGGCAGGCCAGGAGCGCGCGGGGTCCCGCCAGAAAGCTCTACTGACATTTCTGAAGGAGCGCTGGGACACACAAATTCGCCGGCCCAACGGGCCAGGGCGTGCTAAGATCTCCGGTAACTGGTTAACAGTATTAACAGTATTTCTAGTTCGCGCGCGCGGGGCGGCCCCTGGGGGTCCCCCGGCGAAAAGTACCCCGACCAACGCCCGGTCGCCGCCCGACCAAGTCTACTCAGAGATGGTTTTCCTTCTGGGTGCGGCCTCTCAGGCTCCCCAGAGCGCGCTCAGAGTGCCCCAAGAGGCCCCCAAGACTGCCCAAGAGGCCCCCGAGACGCCCAAAGAGCGCTCGAAGACGCCGAAGATGACCCCAAGACGGCCCAAAAGGCCCCCAAGACAGCCCAAGAGGCCTCCAAGACGCCCCAAGAGCCTTCCAAGAGGCCTCCGAAGAGAGCCCCAAGAGGCCAAAATCGTTGATTTTCATTGGTTTTTTCGATGTTTTTTGTGTTCTGGCTTTTTCGGCTTCCGGACGCTCCAAGACGGCCCAAGAGGCCCCCAAGACCGCTCCAAGACGGCCCACGAAGCTCCCAAGACGGCGCCGAAACGACCCAAGAGAGCCCTCAAGACGGCCCAAGTGCCGCCCAAGACGGACCAAGAGGCCCCAAGACGGGCCCAAGAGGGACTCAGGAGGGATACCGAGAACTCAAAAATGGAGCCCTCCGTCCCAGAAGGCGCCCAGGAGGTCCCAAAGAGGCCCCAAGAGGCCTCCAAGAGGCCCCAAGATGTCGCCAAGAGGCCCCAGGAGACTCCCAGGAGGCCCAAAAGAAGCCCCAGAAGGCTTCAAACATGTCTCCCAGGCGCCCCCGAACGGCCTCTCAACAGACCCCAAGAGGCCCCCCAAAGAAGCATCTTGACGACGACTCTATTTCGCCCCATCGAGAGACGACCCCCAGGGAACTGCTTCACCATCAAAACTCCCCACGCAACGCGTCCGAACGACACCCGCCCCCAAGAGCGCAACATGGGCAACGAACACACAGACAAAAACCAGCGATGCCATATCACGGGCCGGCGGAATGAGCGAAGCGATTCAATAAATACACACAAATAAAAGGATTTGCCATATTTTCCAATATTTTCTGTGTTTTTGTCTTCCCCCCCACTGCCAATATTTTCCCATATTTTCTGGGGAATCGACGATGAATTGTGTCTGTGCTT